TATTTGCATTTCTATAGTGTCTTTCACTCAATGTAAAGGCACCTTACAAACATTAATTAATTCTCACAATCACCCTGTCAGGTAAATGTGGGCTATATAGGGATCGCATCAGTCGTCACTGAAATGCGGTTACCTCTAGAGTGAAATGCAGCAACTGTTTCAACAGTGCACAGAAACACTGCACAACACTATAATGAAGCGAAGAAAAATACCATAACCAGTTGAAAGTGCAACCGTAGTTTATGTAGGCACAACATAACTACTTCATTTAGAATCTGGCCAGGACATTGGGTTATCACCCCTATGTCTTACCAATGTTCAAAAGGAGCTTGGTTTTACTTCTTACTGAAAGAAACTCACCTAACAAATGGCAATCTGATAGAGTTGACAAGTTCCTTTCTTGCCTTTATAAATCTGTGCTCCTTTACAGGTTATATCCGCTAACGGGAAAGACAGCTCTCATTTTTATAACACATTGCTTGGGCCAGGCAAGCATCCTGACATATAAATCCATCCTCCCCAACCCCCAAAGCAGATAATCACCACCCTGCACAAATGACTAGAGGGTGCCACCAGACCCATCAGAAAGCCGACCCAGAAATTTACTGCTAGGGATCATCATACCAATTTCAGGCAATATTTGGACTCAAATCCTGGCTAGGAACCAGAAGGTCAACATGCTAGTAATTACACTAGTGTGCCAAGATGGCCGTATATCACTTTTGTGCATTTCCTGAAAAGCTCAACTCTTCAGAACAGCTACAGGTATTTAGGAATGAAGTGGAAATAGCAAAATATATCAAAAGCAGCGCTACTAATATGGCTACTGAAAGGCCGTAATCAGCCAAAAACCCCTTTAAAAGGTGCCTGTATTTCAGGGCGGTGCAAGTCCAGGGCAGAGTTTCAGCCTTAACTTGGAATTACCTTGCTTTGGTCAAACTGTCTCAGGGACGTTACTGATGCTGAGATTATCCTTGTTGTTGTTTAACCCTGGGTTGGGAGTGTTTTGCAGGATGGTGATGGTGTTTTGGTCTCTGAATTGGCTAGTAAGGCCAGATTCTGCCTGCATTCCCTGTGTGTATCTCCCATAGAGGCAGATGAGAGCTGTGTATATGGAGGGTAACAGAAGTAGCTTTCAAATTGTGGCTCATGCACCATCCAAGGACCACACAGTCCTTCCTGGTGCTCCACCTACTGAACATTATGAGAGACCAAGATATGGAATTTGGTACATTGAAGGAAGATAAGGGCTCTGAGATTAGGGTTTGTCTACACTTGAAAGTTAATGGGGATGCAAATTTAAAGCACAGTAGCTATTCCTGAATAACTCTATGTGTGAACACTCTGGTTAGCTTAACCCACTTTCAAAGTGACCCACAGAATGAAATGCTGGAGAACAACTCAGCCTCAGGGTCCAGTTTAATGTCTCATCATCTTCCTAACCCAGAGCTCCCTGTCCCATAGCAGGGGTGGCAGATCCCAACTCCAGAGAGAAACATTCCACACTGGAAAATGTGCAGAGGACAAACATTTGCAAAAAATGAAATAAAGTAGGTGTTGTATCTGCCGTGTGGCCTCACTGTCTGCTCCCCAAGGGCATGGGAAAGATGGAGACAAAATGGGCAGTTCTGAATAGCAGAAAATAGGTGTGTGGATGCTACATGGAAAAGTCCCAGACCCAGGCATCTGTTACTGCACATGGATCACTTCCTGTATCCCAGGTCTCATGGGAATTATTAGAAAAGTTGGAAACAAGGAAGGGGAACTAAAGGAAAACATTCAAATTGGGGGGAATTGTTGTCTAGTGGTTAAAATGGGGAACTGATAGACAGCACGCTTGAGTCCATTCCCAACTCGGCCTTTGACTGGCTGGGTCACCTTGAGAACCCTTCTGTGTGGCTCAGTTCCCCATCCATAAAAGGGAATACAAATATTTAGCTCCAGCATCTCTCGGGGGCATTGTGAGGCATAACTAATTAACGCTTGTAAAGCATTTTAAACTCCTCAGATGAAATGGGCTGTATATATTTAGAAGTGCAAAGTAACAATTTCTGAATTAGAAAAGGAATGTAAAAGAAACATCTACTGATTGTTTTCTAACTGTATAGCCTTGTTTTCCCTGGTATTTTCTATCATACTGCCATGTCTTTCAGAATCACGTAGTGTTGATCTGCTTTTGCATGTATCACAGTGAACTATGGCTGCTGTGCCAGAAGATGAAGCCCAAACTCCTGGACTGAAACTCCCCAAGCTTAGTGTTAAGAATATGCCCATCAGAGAAAAAAGGAGAAGCCAGGAGAGTGCTACGCTGCCAGGTCTCAGGAAGGATGCTCAATGGAAAGAGACATTCTATGAGAAGGTACAACAGAGAGCGTTGAATCTGCAGAGGGGAAAGGTGGAAAAGATTCACGTACGTAAGGCAGAGGAAGAAAAGATAAAAAAGAAAGAACCTCTGGACTGGCTGTCTAAGGAATGGTTGAGTGAAGAGAAGATGACAAGGGACACCCGGGCCTATTTGCTCGACAAACTGTTACCCACATTAGTCCCAGGAGTAGAAAAATTGTTAATGGAAGTAGAAAGAAAGAAGGTGCTTGAAACAGACCAAGATCCACCCAAGTTTGATCCCATTAATTTTCTAGGAGAATATCTGATGAGGCATAACCCTCAGTTTGACACATCTGCAAAACTAGATCCCTACAAGAGAGGGATGAAGGCTGTCATGGAGGAGTTGAAAACTCAGGTGCCTGATACGGCACTTAACAGGTGAGTGAGTTTAAACTATGCTTGGTTGTAGCATACCCTTTTCATGGTATCTCTGTATTCATTTTACAAAAAGCAGTACATTCCTTAATTGGATACAGTGACTGTAATCTGGGATGGCAAAAGTGTATCCTACAGCACCAAATGAATCCCATGGAGTTCTGTGCCATGGCCAGCAGCTGTCCTCTTCTTTGAGTCTTGGAAGCAAGAGAAATCCCAGCACATGGCAGATGTAGCCAAGCAATGGCTTATGCATATTTAAGGCAGTATCCTACCCCTACTGTGTAGCGCTCGATTTGACACTGTGCACATGGAATGAAGACACTGTATGACCTTTCTGGACATTTTTAGCACCAGTGTTAATAATATAGGTCTGGCGCTCCTGAGGCCCTTTTCCCCTTATGTCCCTCCAAAGATAATGGAAATAAGATTAGCCAAGTTGCCTCTGCTGCCCATCCTGAGGATTTCTCTTGACTGGACCAAGGGCAGGGCTGTCTTGGTTCTCCTTGAGCACTCCCTTCAGGAAAATGTTTGCTATAATCCCTCTGTAGCTATGTTCATTTCAGATCAGTTCACCTTCAGCCATTTTAGACTCTCTTTCCGTCAGCACTTCCCTTTGGATCATTATTGCCCATCCTAACTTAGCAGATGAGTTGGTTTTCTCTGCACAGTTTGGTCCAGTGTTATTTAATTAATGTATTTTTTCAACAGTATCTCACAACGTGATGGGATTATAAAATTCAGTTGCACTGCATTCATAAATAATACATTCATCTTGATTTGTCAATTCAGAAAAATATGCAAGTGAACATTTGTGTTTATGAAAAGCACCAGAGTGGGTAGCAATAATGTCAGAACTACTCATTAACTTCCCGATCACTTTATTCCAGGGTCTGTTTTGGTAGAATAACTGGATTTGTAGAGTACGCTCATCTATTTGCATAAAACTGGTGTCAGGAATTAGGGAAAGAAGATGTTGACATAAAATGTCTCATGTCTAGACTCTAAACTAAGATAATGGAAGTTCCCAGTAATTAAATGAATAAAGGAATATGGTTAAATCTCTCTCTCTTTCTCTCTCTCTCTCGTATTTCTAATGCATATGCTGTTGTAGTACATAGGCACATACATAACCTATACCGGATACAATTAAAGCAGTGATAAATGACTCTTATGAAGTGCACTTAACTCTATTTACCTGCCTTTAAATGTAGCTAGACTGGTGATCAGCACACGAGCGCTCTGCATTTTGGCTTGCCGTTTATTAAGGGATTTATGATTTCATGCTTTACCTTTGCTTTGGGGTGGTAATTCCAGTTTAAAATTTGGGAGTCAAGTTCTTAGTTTGACAGCTATGGAAGAGTCCGAGAGCTGATGCTCAGGAAATCTGTATGAGGAGTCATAGCAGTTAGCCTCTCCATGGCTGTCAGTGCCAGGGGATTTACACAGCCATGGCAGTAACAGGAAGTATCATGGGATTTGTGTTTGTATTATTTTAGGATTTCCATATTTGTGTCTGGCAGGATCATAGGATTTGTCTGGTGTTCTTAAATCTGGGGACTCCATACCTGCACTATGGCTTTTGCTGCCACCATGCACTGGTGCGTAATACTTGCCATGAGTCACTGGCTTTCCAAGTAGAAGAACAAATTAGGAGAGGAATGGAAGGGGAGCTCAGAATGGCTCATGTAAGCACCCAAAGTTCAGGGGTGAAATCCTAGCCCCATTGAAATCAACGGGAGTTTTGCCATTAACTTCAACAGGGCCAGAATTTCACCTCAATTGCTTATCCAAACTTTACCCCCCCAGCTGAACTTTCTCTGGCTTCTTCCATCCCCACCTTAATTGCGACCATGTTGGGAGGCAGGGAGTTCATGAGAGTGGGGTGGGAGAAATTCCTTTTTATCTAAACCAACTCACACCTGAATTAATGTCTGGTTTTGTTCAAAGGATGCCAATGCATCCAGCTGACTCATGCATCCGTATGTAGGAGAACAGGGGCTGCCTTCCTTCCCAAACATGCTTCTTGTGCAGGGAGTCACCCTAAAGATATCTCTGCTTATCAAATGCATTACTAACAAATGTGTTCCCACCATGGTGCATCTACCCAGGACTGTTATAACCAGATGGAAACTTCCGCAGTGGGACAATCTTTGTCCTGCTCCCAGGGACATCAGAAGGAGAGTGCATTTACATGCCCTTTCAGGTAATAGCTGGAACAAGCTGCCTAGAGAAACAAAATTGCAGCACACTGCATGTATAGCACGTACCGTCCCTTGTGTTTGGCACTGCCCAAATTAATCATCAAAGCAGTTTGGCAACTCTTACATTGGAGTTAATCCTGCTTTGTGTTTGCTAATCATTCCTGAAGAGGGGCTGATAGTTGAAATGTTTCTAAGTTTATTTCCTATTTTTAAGTTACAGAGAACTTTCTTGATCCATTTAATTTGGCAACTGGTACATCTCCTCTTTGCAGCATTAGTAAAGCAGTCCAGAAAAGGGAATTAGGTTTCCCAACACCCGTTTCCATTGTATCAAGGTGTCAGGGGCTGAATCACATCAGAAAGCAGCTGTCTTTCAGTTAGTCCCATAGTCTGGCTTTTTCCTAGCAGTGAGCAGGGCAGTTTCCCCATTTATTTTGTGGATTTTTTAAGCCAAGTGCCGTTTGAATTTAAAGGCCCTTATCAAGGAATTTTTAATATAATTTTCCCTGTTGTCATTTATAAGTTGATATCTGCAAACTGAAATCTTTTTCCTTGCCTTAATATTTATTTCTTCTTGTATGTACATCTACCTGCCATTTGTTATTGGGTGAAGTCCTGGCCCCACCAAAGTCAATGGCAAAACTCCCGTTGACTTAAGCAGGGCCAAGGTTTCCCCTATAGTGTTGCACTTGAGCAGTGAGTCTTCACACACTGGCTCCATTCTGTAGGATTGGTAATAACCAAGGTCTGCATGGTCTTGATAAACGTGTACATACTCTAAACCACAGGGCATTACTTACACCAAGCCAAATCCACATGCTCATCTTCTGGCAGAAATCTGCTCAACGATATTAATTATCCCTGTATTCTGCACAGCCTGGTAGTTCTTCCTGAGTCCAATATACTCAAGATTGTCCCAAAACAGGTGTGGAGATGGGTTCTGTTTGCAGTGTTATGGGTTTACACTGGGACTCAATCCAAGCAGTCTTCCTTCTTTTCATCTCAAAGCGAAAGCAAAAACACTGTTGATAGATCAGCTCAGAAGCTGCATCCATCTTCAGCTGACGTTTGTTATGATTTTATTCATAGATGAGCTAGCCCCAGAATTTCTGGTGTTGCAAAGACTAGATTTAATGCCCCATGTGAGGCCAAATGCGGGAAAGATTTTAGCAGGGATTTTCACTGACACGGTGAAGGCCCCAGGGAAAGATTAAAGAAAACAGAGGCACATCCTGCCCTTGTTATATTGGTAATTAGAGATGTTAGTACACTTACTGTTATGTAGGCATAAGAAGCCAGAGGCTCAG